ATATCATAAGCATTTTTATAATCTCATTGTATATCTATCGGTATGTACACTATTCTTGGATCAACTTTTTTTGTCGTACGATACTACTTGCAAAGAGTGTAGTGGCATGACTGTCTATGCAAGATCTTTCATGTTTGGGGAAGGTGTGGACATCTTCAACAATTTTTTGTCGTACGATACTACTTAGAAAGAGTGCAGTGGCATGAGTGTCTATGCAAGATCTTTCATGTTTGGGGAAGGTGTGGGCATCTTTAAACTTTGTTACTCGAAACAAATCTGATCTTCTTATGCTCCTCTCTCTGAGAGTCCAATAACATGTGTCGTTTATAAAAATAACAGCATACCTGCATAAGAAAGATGATACATAACATCACTTTTAAAGAAATACATTATTTTTAAATACAGATTTATGAAAGCATCCTTGATACCATCATAGTATATATATATATATATATATATATATATATATATATATATTTTGCTGTGGTGTCAAATGATAACTTAGAAGTATGTTGCCTAGAAGGACTATTCATATATATTTAATACCATTAGAGTATAATATACTCTAATGATATCTAGGAGTAAATGAGTGGTGTTTTCACTAAACCACAGTCTCTTCATCCTTGATACCATCAGAGTATATATATACTATGATGATATCAAGCACTAATTAAGCAGTCTTTTAATTGAAGCACTGCATGTTTTTCCTTGATGCCATCAAAATGTATATATACTCAAATGGTATCAAGGAGAAATTGAGTAGTGTTTTCACTTTGATGGTATCAAGGAGTAATCTAGTAGAGTCTTCACTGAAATACCATCTCTTCCTCCTTGATACTATCAGAGTATATATTTTTATGGCATCAAATAATAATTTAGTAATTTTTTCACTGAAGCACTACCTCTTCTTCGTTGATACCATTAGAGTATAACAAACAATAATTTAGCAGTGTTTTCACCAAAGGACTACTCTAATGGATATTATGTGTAGGTAACATACCTTCTTTTACAAGATTTTTGAGTTCGATATTAATTATTTTTTTGCATTGAATATTTTTGTTGTGCTTTGATTAGTGTTTGTTTGTCAATGTGGATATGCTGAACTTCAGTATATTGCTTTCTCGTATTCATAATGATCATTTGACCATCTACATGTTCATGATGAATTGCAACACCTTCAATAGGATCAGACTTAATTATGTCTGCAAACTGAATTAGTTCTATACTTTTTGATAAACTTTCAAGCCAATAAAGGTTGGGCATGCTTGTGAGGCAGTCAAGGCTAGGCATGCTCATAGAGATGGATATGATAGTGAATTCTACAATCAATAGATATGCAGTGATCACAGGATTGTGTTTCTTCAATTCAAAATAGACTTTCATATCATGCTATTCTTAAGTTGTTGCGGTGCAAAATTGTGAAAGTGCATATTTGATTTCAAGATTGCTTGCAACAACATCTTTCTGTAGTTGTATTGTTATTGTTTCGACCTTATCGTAAAATTGGAAGTAGAATTGACTAAAATTGCATCAACGTGATAATAATTGCAGTGGTTGTTTGAATCTCAAGTTACATTGTGCTTAAAATTGTAACGTTATCCATCAATGGAATTGAAACTGTAAACCCTGTGAAATTTGAATTTCAAAAGTAGAAGGCATCTTGGAGAGAAGAAGACAGCTTTGAGAAAGAAGTAGGCAAATTTCACGGGACTCGTTTAGTGCTGAGAAGTTAAGGTGCGCTAGTAGTTAAAAACAAGGGGTATGAAAGTAAGGGGGTAGTCGCTTGTAAATAGTTTTTATTTTGGGTATAAGTGTTCTTTGTTTACATCCCTACTTTATTCAAATAGGGCGAAACGTCGTGGTTATTCAAAAAATAATCAATTAATTCAATTTTAAAAGAATTTTAAGAATGAATAAATTTTAAAGGAGTCGCCACCTAATTTTAGGAAAAATTAGGAAACCAATAAAAAATGTCTACAAAACCAATAGATTCTAAGTAAGGGGTTCAAGTTATTCCGAAGGAAAGGTGTTAGGTATCATTCGAAATCCACAACTGTGGGTCCCGACTGACTTCATTTTTTTCAAATTGAGGAAGAGATAAGACAATATACAAGTAAAACAAACATGTGATATACACAAGTAATAAAATAAAAATAATATCAAAAATGGTCTAAGGTTTGCCTAACATCGATAATATACACAATAATGAATAAAAAAATATAATTTGAACTTCATTCAAATAGCTTCAATGGGAAGCATCTCCGGGTACGTGTAAAGACACTTAGTAAAAGTGTTAGTAATAAATAAATATGAATAAATCAAATAATAACTTAAAAATAAAAATTCGTCTTATGAACATGGGAGGCCTTAGAAATCGACAGTAATTTCTTCATTGATCAATTTTGACAATACAATATATATAAACTTAAACTAATTTCCGTCTTTTACAATGGGGAGGCCTTGAAAATCGACGGAGAAATTTTTCATTGACCAATTTTGACAATACAATATATATAAACTTAAACTAAATTTCCGTCTTTTACAATGGGGAGGCCTCGAAAATCGACGGAGAAATTTTTTTATTGGCCAATTTTAACTAATTGTTCATACTAATAACAATAGCAAGAAGATAGTAAAAATAAATAATAAGAACAGACTCTACCAAGAATCCAAGGCAACATCAACAATAATAATAAAAAATATATTAAACCAATATCACATTGTTTCACCTAATTAAAGTAACGTTACGGGAGATCTTTTAAACATTCACAAAACTAAATGAACAAGCCCGAAATTCAATAAAGCAAGTTGAAATAAGAACTAAAGGAAAATGTTTCAAACATAAAAAAATTGGGAAAAAAATAATTAAAAAATTACATAAAATAAATATAAACAACCCATCAGTTATATCAAAATGGTAAACAAATAAATACAAAAATAATGAAACACAACCAAAACAAAAATAATAACAAAGTAATATCTCTACAATCAAAAAGTAAAATCAATCACTTAGTGTAGATAATAAAATTCGCGTCAAGAAAACAATAATCAAGAATGGAAAATTATGCAACAATCGTATTTATTATTTCAAAGTGCGAGTGTTACAATCTCCATAATTCCTCTGAATTCGCCTTTTCAAATATAAATTCAAGGGCTCTTGAGCTTAATCTTGAATTTGTATTGAACTTGATCTTGAACTTAAACTTGAACTTTATCTTGATCTTGACTTTTACTTGAATTCAAGGGTTTCGAGCTTGTTCTTGAATCCGATGGTTTTGATTTGATCGTTCTTGAACTTGAATGCATGAATTATTAAATGCTAGAGAAAAACTTACAAGATAACAAAAAATCAAGATTACAATTGAAAAATAAAAATGAAGAAAGAAATTTCTTCAGGCTGAGGCGCGGATATCTCGATCTCTTTAAGGAGATTCAAGTCCACTGCAGCAAATGTTTTCACCGGTCCAGCAGTAGTCCTTCTTGACTTGTCCCCTCTAGGATACAACAACATATTCACAATATATAACTCAACAATCCTGGACAAGAGTTGAGTTCAAAGCTCCACAAAAAGAACATCTTCCTTCAACTAATAAGAACTCTCTTTTTTGACTAACTCTTTCACTCTATATTTTTCTTGTGTGTATATATACCAAACCAAATGAAGACTATCACTATTTATAGTTGAGGAAGTCTTCCTATCAATGATAGGAAGATAATGGGTAGTAAATAGTGAAGATAAATGGTCTTAGGAGTTACATATGTTACAAGGATAATGGAAGAGTAAAGAATGAAAATAAAGAGAGGTAACAAAGCACCAACGGCAAATGAACATTTGCACCAATTCCAACGTTCACTGGAACGTTTTTGGCCAGCATTTTTATGACCACTAAACAATGGCCAATTCATGAGTAATTAGGCAATATTAAAGATAAAATAATGAGCAAATTTAATAAAAAAATATAATTAAAATGCCTTACACTAATAATCCCCACTCATATTAATATTAGACAAGAGAGTATACAGCTGAAGGAAGACTACTATGCATAATGAAGGTGTGCTGCATTGAACCTCCACTTAGTGAAACATAACTTTTACTCCAGAGTCGTAGTGGTCTAAGACTTGAACTATGACTGCTTTAGGGAAATAAAATATAATTGTCCACACATAATAATCAAGGTGTTGACATGAGCTTTAAAGCCAACACGTTACGATCTTGTGCTATCCTGGTTTCATAAGTGCTTTGAGAATAAGCCCAATTCTCACAGGAAGCGACCTACTTCCACACTTACATAAGTGATATCTGTCGAGAGTGGTCCTGTAAGTTTAACACTCCACCCATACGGGCTACAAATTTTCATTAAGAGTTTTATCAACTCAACCTTCCCAAATTATGCAGCAAACTATGCACTCATATCATAGGGAGGGAATAAAAAATAGTGCATTTTTCACAAGAAGTCATCATATGATTAGTTTTTCCCTTTGAACCTGGTTATAGTATCTCTAGTCCCCTGGTTGGGTTTCCTCATATATGAATCAAGGATTTATAGGCTTCAATCCCATCCCCTCGATGTGCTCCAGACCTATTCTCTTGTTAAGGGCCATAGTAAGAGGATCTGCAAGACTATCACAAGATTTGACACAATCAACATTAATGGTACCATTTGTCAAATACGATCTTACATTACTGTGTTTCCTCCTTATAGGTCTGGATTTACCGTTGTAATAACGATTTTGAACTCTACCAATCACAGCGCTGTTATCACAGTGAATTAAAATATGAGGAATTGGTTTTTCAAAATAGGTATTTGAAATAAAAAAATCTCTTAACCAATTTGCTTCCTCACTAGCTGAAGCTAAAACAATTAGTTCAACCTCCATTGTAGAGTTAGCAATTATAGTTTGCTTTTTTGATCTCCAACAAATAGCACCACCACCTAAAGTAAAGGCATAACCAGTGGTACGTAGAACATGAATCACCTGATAAAGTGTTCCAATCAGCATCACAAAAGCCTTCCAATGTTTTTTATAGAACAAACCACAATTTTTTGTTCCAATTAAATATCTCATAACTCTTGTTATAGCATGTCAATGTTCATTACCTGGCTTGTTTGTAAACCTGTAAAGTACTCCTACTGCATATGCAATATCAGACCTAGTGTAATCAGTCACATATCTCAAACTTCCGATTATGCTAGCATATTCCTTTTGATTTATTATATCATTTTCACTTTCAACAGGAAATAAGTGAACACTTGAATAAAAAGGAGTTACAACATGTTTGCAATCATGAAAGTTATATTTTTTCAAAATTTTCTCAACATAAGGTGACTGGTCAAGGAAAATTCCATCACATGTTCTTGTTATTTTTATTCCAAGAATAAAATTTGCCTCACCAAGATCTTTCATATCAAAATGGATTCTAAGAATATTTTAAGCTTCATCAATAACATTCATGTTAGAGGCAAAGATCAACAAATCATCAACATATAGGCAAATAATCACATGTGAATTATTCCATGACTTATAATATATGCACTTATCACACTCATTTGTTTTAAACCCATTTTCAATCATGCAGGAATCAAACTTTTCATGCTATTGCTTTGGTGTATTTTTCAAGCCATATAGGGATTTAGTAAGTTTACATACTTTGCTTTCTTGGCATGCTTCAACAAAATACTCCGGTTGATCCATATAAATTCCTCATTTTAGGTCTCCATTTAAAAAAGCAATTTTTATATCCATTTGATGAATTTGCAAATAAAAAATTGCAGCCATAGCAATTAAAAGTCTTATATGGATGTAATTCTTGTTACCGGTGAAAAAGTATCAAAAAATTCTAGGTCTTCTAGTTGTTTAAAACCTTTTGCAACTAGTCTAGCCTTATATTTATCAATAGATCCATCCGGTTTCAACTTTTTTCTTAAGACCCATTTGCAACCAATTGTTTTACAACCCGGTGATAAATCAACTACTTTTAAGTTTTATTAGAAATCAGTGATTCCATTTCATCATTTACAGCCTCTTTCCAAAATATGGAGTCAAGTGAAGATAAAGTTTCTTTTAAAGTGAGAGGGGGTCATCTCCAACATTAAACACATAAAAATCAGGACCAAAATCTTTTTCTACTCTAGCTCTTTTACTTCTTCTTAACTCAATATCATCAATTTTTTTATTTTTTAAAGTAGAAGTAAAAGAACTAGGTAGTGAAAATATGTTGTTCAATCCTTTGACCCCCACTATTTTTAGAATCAAAAGGGAATTTATTTTCATGAAAAATAGCATCAGCTCATCCAATTATATTATTATCTTCAAGATTAAAAAATCTATAGGTTGTAATATTTGAAGCATAACCAAGAAAAGCACAAGTAGTAACTTTCTTACCCAACTTTGTAATCTTGGGATCCATTAGTCTCACAAAGGCTAGACAACCTCAAACTCTTAGATATCCCAAACTTGGCTTGTGACCTTACCAGAATTCAAAAGGTGTCGGTTTAGATTTTTTATGAGGCACACGATTCAACACATAACAAGCAGTTAAAATACCTTCACCCCAAAAACTTAAAGGTGCATGTGACTCAATAAGCATGACATTAGTCAATTCAACCAAAGTTCTATTTTTTTCCTTTTCGCTACACCATTAGATGAAGGAGAGTAAGGAGGAGTAGTTTCATAAATTATTCCCAATGATCTAACAAAAGAATTAAGCTCATTTGAATCATATTCACGGCCTCTATCACTTCTAATTCTTTTTATTTTTCTTCCAAACTGATTTTCAACCTCATGGAGATAAGTTTTGAAATTTTCAAAAGCATCACTTTTAATTTTCATCAAGTAAGCATATGTAAACTTAGAAAAATCATCAATGAAAGTGATAAAATATCTATTACCTCCACGAGTTAAATTTTCACCAAGTTCACAAATATCATTATGAACTAATTCTAACAAATCAGTTTTTCTTTCAACTTGGAAATGAGACCTTTTAGTGATTTTGGCTTTACTTCAAGCCTCACACTTTTCAAAATTCTTTTTAACCATTGATATTAATTCTAAACTACTCATGATTCCAACATAACGATCATTAATATGACACAAATGAGCATGCCGAAAATTGGTAGAAGAAAGCATATAAACAGAAGTAGAAACTTTATTCATTTCAACATTCAGTTTAAGCATCCCATCACAAGCATATCCCTTCTCCACAAAAATACCCTTCTTCACAATTACATATTTATCAGATTCAATAATCTGTTTAAAGCCTATTTTATTAAGAAGAAACTAGACATCAAATTTTTTCTCATGGAAGGAGTATAAAGTACTTGAGTTGTTTGAGAATCACCAAGCATGATGGTTTTGGACTCCTCAAAATGAGTATATTTTTTAAACCAGTCTTTGTCATAACAGACATGATGGTTTGCACCAGAATCAACCCACCATCCATCAACACTCTCAACCATGTTTATGTCGGTAACGTTTGCTTAGGACCACGTTTCCAGAATCTGTAAATCGAGCAATATGCCCACTCTTTCCACAAACAAAACACGATCCCTTATCTTGAATTTGTTGATTTTGTGCTTGGTTATTTTCACCATTATTTTTTTTCTTGGGAGGTCTACCATTATTTTTCTTGTTTTTTTCTTCTTAGGCTTCAAAGAAGTATTTTTCTGAGTTTCAAGAGTAGCATTATTTGAAGTAATTCAATTTACCTTCGTTGTGATGTTTCACTCTTCTTTTTGTAAAAGTGCATCTTGGTCCCTTGCCTCTTCACCATCGTACTTTTCCACTTTCTCATGATAAGAAATAAGTTCATCATCATCCATGGAGGTGTCATCAATTTTATTAGGATTCTTCTCAGTTAACCCATAAGTAACATTGAGAAGACTTAAGTAGAAAAGTATTTTACCCTTCCATCTTTTGAAATGGTTACCATTGAACCGAAATGGCTTGTTAAGGTCTCCCATCTTGACATCCGCGGTTTATTCAATTGTAGTCATTCTGAATCTCCTTAAAATTGTTAGTGAAAACTTACAAGATTATAATTGAAAATAAAATGAAGAAATAAAATCTCTTCAAGGCTGAGGCGCGGATATCTCGCTCTCTTTAGGGAGATTCAAGCCCACTGCAGCAAATATTTTCACCGGTCCAGCAGTAGTCCTCTTGACTTGTCCCCTCCAGGATACAACAGCCTAATCACAAAATATAACTCAACAACTCTAGACAAGCGTTGAGTCCAAAGCTCCACAAAAAGAACACCTCCCTTCAACTAATAAGAACTCTCTTTTTTGACTAACTTTAATGCACTCTATATTTTCTTATATCTAAACCAAATGAAGACCACCACTATTTATACTAGAAGAAGTCCTCCTAACAATAAATAGAAAGATAAGGGTGTAGTAAATAGTGAAGATAATGGTTTTAGGAGTTACATAAGTTATAAGGGATAATGGAGAAATAAAGAGTAAGAAATAATGGGATAAAAGGCTAAAAGCCACCAACGGCTTGAACCTGCTGCATTTGCACCAAGGAAATAGTAACTTATGCAATTACTCTATGGAGTAATGCACCAACTTAATGGTCCAAACGGCAGAAAAATGATTTCCATTAACTCCCACCCTACTTCAACAAATGAAAGTCAACCAATGCATATTATAATGCAATAATGAATAGAGGAAGTAATAACTTAGGGGTAATCGGTCAATGCTAAAATACAACATTCTTATAATATTAAAATGCCCCTACACGAACATATAGGAATTTAAATTCATCCAATAGATAGATGCCACGTAATAATTAATAATAATAAAATAAAAAAATAAATAATTGTTAGTTTTAAGGGTAATTGTGGACCAAAAAGGTGGATCGAGGGGTATTTTTAACCCAATATGTGAATCGAGGGTATTTTAAACCTTTTTGATTATCTAGGGGTATTTTTGGCCCTTTTACTGTAAATAGTTTAAAAATTTGTATAACTTACTGGATGAGACTCCTATCCATTACTCATTCTCTCCATTTCCCCAAGTTCCTACTCGGATGGAAGTCATGTGTCATAATTAAAAATTAAAGGTTGAGATTTAATTACCTAAATTAAAGTCCTAACCATGATTAAAATAACAAATATTTTAATTACCTCCTCAGGAACTTCTTGACGATCTTTGAAAGTACGTTATGTTGTTTATGTGATTGTGCAAAACTTTATTTTTGCGTTTTTGATGTATCTTTTAGTGGTTCAAGCTATTCTTTTTTCTGGATTTGGTTAAGAAATAGTGTAGTTGTAGCATTCATAAGTTCAAAATTTACCTTTTTCCTGTTGTGTTTCTCAGTGGTTTAAGTTATTTTTTGGATTTGGATGTGAAAAGGTGTACCTGTAGCATTCATAATTTCATAGTTTAGCATTTTCTTGTTGTATTACTCTGTGATTGAAGGTATTATTTTTTCATTTGGGTGTGAAATAGTATACTTGTAGTGCTCATAAGTTCAAAATTTAGCAGTTTTCTCTTGTGTTTGTCAGCGGTTCAAATTATATTTTTGATTTGGATGTGAAATGGTGTACTTGTAGTGCCCATAAGTTCAAAATTTAGCATTTTCTTATTGTGTTTTCAGCGATTCAAATTACTTTTTAAATTTTGATGGAATGTATGTGTCCACTAAATGTAACAGGACTTGGTCCTTTAACTCAGTTAAAGCACAGAAAAGTAAATGCTGGAAACACACGATACTTTACGTGGAAACCTCCTTGCTCAAGGGACTAAAACCACGACCTGCCTCACATGATTTTCAAAACTGTTTTCACTAATCTTCTCAAGCAAAAGCGAAATACAGTTTACAACCACACACTAATATTAACCTCCTAATCTCAACCTAAGTAATACAACATATTACTTAATGAGCCTATGAAATGCATTCATTGCCCACTATACTAACCCTCACTGATTAATATAGACTTTTGACTGTAAGATACAAAGTTACCCTTAACTATGTTCTTACAATGACTTACACAAAGTTTTGAAATGTTTCTAACAGAGTGAAACGAATCTTACAAGTTAAGCACAAATATAAGCAATTAAAATAACAACAGGTTCAGGAAGCAAGTTCTTCAGTCGATGAGGTCCCTTGTTGTTTTTGGTGAAGCTTGAATTTTCTTCCCTTTTGAATGTATGAATTGATTTGTTGTTTGTCATGTTGATTAAATCAATCATAAAGAATTATTAACCGTTGGACAAACAACCTCATCCATTCTGATTGGTGTAGTACGCTGACGACCTCACCAACCTCTGACAAGACAACTTTCCAGTTGTATAGCACACTGCCCTAGACGAGAAGTCTCTGCAGAGGACCGGATCCCTGCATTTGTGAGGATCATCAAAACATTGGAAACATTAAGACTTATCAAATTTGAATGTAAAATAGTGTACTTGTAGAGTTCGTAAGTTCAAAATTTACCATTTCATCCAAGTCGAGAGAGAGAGAGAATCTGCGGCGGCGAGGATGGTGAAGTTTTTGAAGCCAAACAAAGTTGTTATCATTCTTCAAGGCAAATATGTTGCCCGAAAAGTTGTGATTGTAAGTTCATTTGATGAAGAAACAAGGGACAGGCCATATGGCCATTGTTGGCCTGTCCCTTGTTTGGTTGCATGTGTCTCAAAGTACCAGAAGAATGTGATCGGTAAGGATTCAGCAAAGAAGCAGGCAAAGAAATCTTGTGTGAAGGCTTCCATCAAGCTCGTGAACTACAACCACATCATACCTACTTGTTACACACTCGATGTTGATCTGAAGGATGTTGTCAATACTGATGTTCTTCGGGCACGTGACAAAAAGGTGACTGCTATGAAAGAGAACAAGGCTAGGCTTGAGGAGAGGTTCAAGACTGGGAAAAATCACCGGTTCTTCACTCGATAAACAAATAATTCTTAATACATAAATCACGTTGTTGTCTACTATCTCTGGTAGTATTATTTAGCTGCTTTTGTTGACAGGTGGTAGATCTACTTGTTCCGTATCAAAGAAGTGAAAAGATTGGACTTTTTGTTAGTGTAGGTGTTGGAGACGCTTATTACGGAGTAAAAAAAGAATCTTCATGTATTATCTTTCTTTAAGGTAATCTAATTTTATATTCACTTCTCGTTTGCATGTGGTTTCTCAGTGTTTACTGGTGTTGGTGAACGTACTCGAGAGGGTAACGATTTGTACAGAGAAATGATTGAGAGTGGTGTTATTAATTAAGCTTGGTGAAAAGCAGGTTTCTGTAGATAACATTTTCTTTTCAATATATAGTGCATACATTTCTTGCAATTGATTGATTTTATACATATGTATGGTGAAAGCAAATGAATGAACCTCATGGGGCTCGTGCTCGTGTTGGGCTGACAGAACTGACAGTTGCTGAACACTTCCGAGACACTAAAGGGAAAGATGTGCTCCATTTTCATGGATAATATTTTACTTTATCAAAATGATTTCTGATTCTCTACCTCTTTCTCTGGGACTGCTCTAGGCGGCTCTGAGGTGTCTTGCTTTGTTGGAGGGCTCCAAGAGAGGAATACTACAACCAAGAAGGGTTCTATCACATCAAATCGTTGTATATACATGATAGAGTTGTTCATTTTTCATTGGTTTTATGCGACTGTCGATTTAAGGGTTGGTTGAGAACTCAATGTGAATGATTTTACATCGCTGTTATGTCTGGTGAGATCTCTAAAAAGCCTTATCCTCAGAATTTCTTTGTGAATATAATTGTCCCAAGAGAACAAGGTAAGCTGCTGGATTTTGTGATTCCTTTCCTTTTAATCTGGTATCACAAGTTAGACATGGGATCTTACCTCGATCTCGTGGTTGTCTATTGATTCATTCAGTGGTGGACTAAACAGACAAGTCGATGGATGACGTCGCACCACCCATATTAATAACATATGATTAACAAAAGGAAGTGTATTTTTTCCTTCTGATGATGGTAACTTTATGAGTGGTGGCGGTGAGAGTTATTGTGGTGGTGAACGGCGGCGCGTGAATGGGAAAAAATAGCTGTGTTTAGAGAAAAGAGATGTTGATCCTTGGAATTTCATATTTCTGTTATTACTCTCTTTGGATGGTCATTACTCTCGTTTCCAAAATATCAAAAAAAAAAATATTTTTTAGAATCAAATGATATATGATATGAAGTTTGATCAAAACTTATATTTATTTATTTTGCTAGTTCTAGATACGTGTGTTGCACGTGTAATCCATACTAATCCTTCGCAAGAACAACTAAATTATAAGTCAGTTTTTTGACAACCTTATTATTCATAAATTGTGAAGACTTGATTATTATGTGGTTGGAATAAAACAAAATAATGTCATATCACTAAATTATTGAACAATTATAAAGGAGGTGATAGTTGTCGCATGTCTTTGATCTTGGATTGGATAGAAGGCGAAGTTAAAATTTGTAAAGATGAATGTTCTTAGTCTAATAGGAATTATAATTATGCATTAGAGATCCAAACTAAATAGATGATTCTTCTCGTTCCTTTATGACTTATTTGCATATCGTAAATTAAATAGTATTGAATTAAACCCCCTTTTAAAGGTATCCAACATAGAGAAGTCAAAAGGCAAATTATAGAGGCAAGATCATTTGAGATATTATCAAAGAAAACAAAGTCATAAAGCTTTGACATTCATGATCATTTAGAAATATTTACATAGTGATATCTACAAAATTTCTACACAACTGTACTTCAAAATGTAACGATGAGTGGAAAAAAATCAAGAGAAATTTATATATCAAATACAATTTACAAAATTAATTGAACCAACTTTTCTATGCTTACCTCCTAGAGATATCTAAATAAGAAGATGATAAATATTGCTACACTATTGAGTATTACTGAGTTACCAAAAGCTTGAGAAACTATATATGACGACAATATTTTTAGCATTCCAAACAAAATTATCTTATTCTTTCATTCATGTGAGAAGCACAACATAAAAAGCACAATAATTTTTTTAGAAATAATAACTAAATGACTCATATTTAAACATGAAAGGCTGAGTTTCTGTTACATACCTGGTAATTTTACACCTTAGATATATTATATTGTTTTATCCAAATAGTGAGAATTAGCTATATGTTAAATGTTCATCTATATAATATAAATATAATTTATCAAGTAGAAAATTCATCATTAATTTATGCTAATTATGATGGAAGGAAATCAATTTTTTTGCAACAATGTTTATTGTAGCTATTACTTGGCACTTAAGATAATTTATGAATATAATTCATTGAATTTTTTATAGCTTTGCGCGGTGGGAGTATCTGAAGAGATTGTTTTAAATATTGCAAACCTTTTGATTTTCTTTTTTCATTTAATAATACAAATATTCATTGTATTTATATTAATCCATGTCATAAGTTGTGTTTTAACTTCCGAAAACTTAAGTAATATTAGGGGTTTTCCATTTTAGAATGTTGTTGTTGTTGTTGTTGTTGTTCTTGTTGTTGTTTTTCCATTTTAGAATGTTGTTGTTGTTTTTTTGTTTTTCCATTTTAGAATGTTGTTGTTGTTGTTGTTTTTCCATTTTAGAATGTTGTTGTTGTTGTTGTTGTTTTTTTTCCATTTTAGAATGTTGTTGTTGTTGTTGTTGTGTATTTATATTTTTATCCATAAATATATAAAATAGTGTTTAATAGAATATGATAATATTTATTATTAATTAATGTGTATTTACATTTTTGTTCATCAATATTATGACATTATAAGGACATTTTCCTAATTCAACTTTTGACCTAGCTTTTCATTTTTTTTGGTCATATATCCGATGTATTTAATTTATTGTTACGCAGAAAAAGGAAAGGGTCTGACCTCCTCAAAACACAACACAAGGATAGATATCTTCAAATGCACCACATTATGAATCTGGTCTATTAATTGGTTATGATGCATAATGAAATTGGTCATTTAGTTAGTTACGTTTCATTCTATTAGTTAGTTACTTTGTGATGAGCTAACTCCAAGTAAATTGTATCTTAAATCATGACACTCACTCAGCGACTGAGTTAATAATTACTTCGAGCTTAAAACCCTCCTTAATTACTTGTTTTTATGAACCATATTATTATTAACATTTCTTCAACCCTAACCCTATTTTAGATACTATCTTCTTCTTTTACGTAATACATTATGAAAACTCTTCATTTCTGACACTCTTGTTTCTACCAACTAAAGCATCAAGATCAGTAAACAACCTTTCTATTATATTCACTATTATCAAACACAACATTCATTACCATTGTAATCAATACAAATAAACTACTTCTATTAATTTCTCAATCAATTCTAGTCTTTCTAAACATCTCATTTTAAGATGTAAAATCAGAAAATTTTCAAATGCAACATACAGCAATACAATGCATTCCTCAACTCCTAATCACATACTTCAAACCTCAAAATCAATTAATTTCTCAATATGGCTCGTATGCCACACTTTAGAAGAAATGTCTTGGAAGGAACAATAACAAAATCCAACTTAAACAAAACATTTGTTGTTGACAGGAGTAGAAGGATCAGCACCTTGGTCTGTGCATTCAATTTCCTACAAAGTTGTGGGGGGATCAACGAGTCTAATACCCTTGGGAGCATCATCATCACACTTAGACTCAGGCTTTTCCTTTTCTGGAATGAAGCTACTCACAACCACCTGATAGTGAACCGAAAATCATTAGCAAGTCCACAATAAACACTCAACAATAAGATTTAGAACATCTCAAGGCTGTAAGTTTTGCACACAATAAGGTTCAAAGTAAGCTTTCTACTTAAGTAACCAATAGAGGGTGGAACCATTGTCCACTGAATTTCGAGTCATAAACTACTAATCAATCCAAAAGAGTAAGAAAAGAACATTAACCCAAGGATAGAGATAGTTAGAATAACACCTGTATCGGAGTAGCAGCTGTGAGCTTTCCAGCAACGTAACCGCCGAAAACAATATGATCTGTCCTAGATAACATCACGTTAAGGTCACATGTTCTACTACTTTCTGACAACATGACTGACCCTGATAATGAGATGATGAAAAATTGACCCTGCATATAAATAAAAAAAGATATGCAAACTTTATGAGAATAAGTAGAGTAGAAACAATTAATGTACACTCGGTTATCATCTTTATAAAATTTAAGCATTAATATACATACGTAACTTCACAACGTTTCCAATAGATGCACATCCAACTACTTGTGTATAGTATATAAGGTAGAACCACCAAAACAAGAAAAATCAATTGATAATTGATATGATAACTCGTTCCAAATAAGTTCAGTGATAAATACTACCTAAAGAAATTATTAAAGTAATCCTTCATAAAGTAACATGATCGATACACCCAAAATTTATCACCTAACTACTACTAATTCATGTATCTCAAATGAAAATACTAGGGTGCATATAAAGGAAGAAAGTATTTGTCAATCAGCAGAAAGAGAAAAAAAAGGGAAAATGAAGCCTCAACTAAGTCAATTTGTTGCTATATGGGCATAATACCATCTGTTAAATGTTTTATTGTGTTTCTTTACTCAAGTACATTCATTATACTTATGACTAAAACAATTCAAAGAGAAAAAAAGGACTAGGGGTCGAGATAAATAAGATTTCACACCCGGATGCATGGCTAACTGACTGTCATTAGAAGTGGAGCTTGAAGTCCATATAGGTCGGCCAAATTCAGTAGATTTTGCTAAAATAGTATATTAAATTTAGAACACAATTATTAATAATTAAAAAAACCATTTAAAATTAAAAATCCATACAATTGAAATTTATATCTGCAAATGAGTTAATCAAGCAAAATCATAAATCTAACTTATGGTAAATAATTTGACAGAATACCTAATTTTATTAAAGATGCAATGTATTTAG